AAGCCAGCCTTAACATTTTGTCACGCGTAGCAAGCATTATTCTTAGCTTCTTTTCCATAGAAACGTGCAACTTTCTCATGAAAATATATTAATTAATGACTCACTCACACACACACACAGAAACTCTCATAGGAAAAAGTGTGGAACTTTAGCAGCCTATCTGAGTGCCTGATTGTGTGTGGTGGGGTAAGTGCACTTTAGCAAATCAACAGCCTTCAGCAATTTATGTGCTATGGCAATGGTATCACACCTATGCATCTTTTTGCTGCCTTCAGTCACATACACCTGTAATTTTCGCTGGCAACAAAACGAGCATTAGTTGCCAAAACAGCCCAGCACAATTTGTTGGAACCTTCAAGTTTAGACAACGACAGCTCAGATCCAGGAAGGAACTGTTGAGGTTGCGTTTGCGGCAGCGGCTGATGCAACTGATTGCAGTTTCTAACTGCAACGTTGCAATAATTTTGTAATTTCTCACTCACTTAATTTAGCACAATTAATCTCAATTTTAGCTGTCAACTGCACCACACCGATGGGGAGCTTTGGCTAAGACAACGGCCTCGTGCGAAGAGCCAGTCCTAAACTGATCACCACGCATGTGTCTGATGGTGCGGCGGTTGCGTCTGTGGCTCAGCTAGTGGGAATCTTCACATAAATATTGGACTGCCGTTATGTTCCATGTATAATTTGTCACTCGAAATTAATCTACGAACGACTTGAACGCTGGCGTTGGGCGATTTTTTAAAGATCATCGCTCGCCATTTCGTAACACGCATGCCAGGCCAAGGCTTCTGACCGCATTTGATCTTCTGCCTGGCTGGCTGGTTGTCTGGTCAGGTCTCTGGTGCCCTGGCTCAGTTCTACTGTGACTTTTCGGCAGCATTGTTTATTATATCATAATGCCAGCTGCTAAGTGACTGTGACGGTCTTGCGGCCAGACAATAGCAATTGGGCCGGGTGTCGATGCCCCTCTCATTGTGTTGGCTCATTTTTGGAACTCAAACTCAAACCCAAACTTGAAACTCGGACTGGGGCTCGCCCATTAAGAGATGTTAGGAGGTTATTTAGTTATTTAAGTGTTGTTTTAATTTACATTCTGGACTGCGTTCCAGTGCGCGCTCATTTTTCGCCACATTTTGCGGTTTGGGCTTCGTGTTTTCAACATTTTCYTTTGCGGTTTAACAAATTTTCTAGTGATCTCTGCAAAGTCTTGTCTTTCATACAGGTTCTCTCGCCTTGTTGATGTTGACGTCGACTCATACACATGCTTAGATATAGATATGGACTTGGAACGTTAGCAAACACAGGGGGGTCGGTTGGTTGGCCGATGGTCGACGGTTGGTTGGTCGCCTGGTCGCTTGGTCGTTTGGTCGGGTTAGTTTCTGGCTTGGCATGGCTCATCGTTTGCTCCATTCCGTCCGCATTTATGGCAGTTGGCAGCGGCAAGGTGTTATTTTCATTTCTAGGTTACTGACCCATGTCATATGTGTGTGGAAAATTCAATATTGCTGTGAAAAATACTTACACAACTATTAAATAAAGACATGGCAATGCCTTGGCCCATCGCAGGCTGTGGCCTGTGGCCCAGCTTAGTATCTTCGCTTGGTACTTAATAATTACGCTCATTTCATGCATGCAATGTTCGGATTCCAGTGAATCTCACCATCGCCCTGGCCACCGCTCACCACCGCACCCGTCCCCGCCTCCGCCTCCACCACAACCCGACAGCTAGAACTACATAGAGCTAAGGCTTTTCTAGCTTCGGCTGCTACTGTGTGCGGTAACCTTCAAGTTAACATGGAACAAATGAAAAAATTCTTCGACAGCTGCTGTTGACTGTTGCAGCCACTTTTCTGCGCTTTTCCCTGGCTTAATTAATTACCACATTCCAAAGGCTTTAGCTATTTTTCTGCTAACTTGTGTGTCCATATATGTATCTGGATGTGCATGTGTGTTTTTGTGTGTGTGTGTGCGATGGTCTATACGTGATTATAGCTGTCTGCGTGTGCTGGCTGTCAGATTTCCGCTTGTGTGCGCCAAGTGCGGAACCAAATACGAACGACTTAAGACACAAACTCGATTTTCACCCATCACAAGTTCGCACACTTCCTACTCAAATGGTAATCGATTGAGTTCGCACATGTCATTTGACGCGCTTTTGTGGCACTGCTGACAGCATACGATTACAATGAATGAAAATGACATGATGTGCACGCCAAGTGAGCAGACCAGGCCAAGAAGACATCTCTGTAGAGCCGCATGACAAATTGCGACCTATTAATCTCCCATGGACTTTCACTTTGGCCAGGCCCGCACATCTTCTAAGCCCTGACGCGGCCCCTCCACTATATTATGCAAATGTCAATCAGCTGCGTACAGTTGACATTGACAGCAGGATCGAGCCCAGTTAATGCCATGGGCCATGTCTAATCAGCCGCAGAATAATTGCCAATATATATATTGGCATCAGCAGCAACGTGAGCAGCAGCAGCATCAGCAACAGCATCTTAGACTTTTTCTAATGTATGCTGGCCATTTGAATAAACGATTTTTTCTTCGATTTCATTCACGTGTAAACGATTAATCAAGTCTCTAGCAACGATTGCCACTCAGACTTGGGCTGGTCCGACTCAGCTGGCCCCTGGCTTGGACTTTTCTCTAGCTTTGGGGCCGGGCGCGCTGCGTTTGTTTCAGCCCGGAGCTTTGTGCCGAGGCTATATGGGTCAGTAAGGTGGTATTTTTCGGGCATAAGACAGCCGCTTAATTTCTGTTTTGGATTTTATGCCAAATTGATTGGTGCGAATATAAAAACAAATCTCATGCAGAGCGTTAAATAAATGTATTTATGGGGTTTTATAAATCTTAATAGCTTAATATTGTATTAATAAAGTTTATAACAACATGTACTCAAGCCTTGTTGTTTGGCTTAGTCAATTAATGCATAGAAACGAAAATCTCAATGATTTATTGTATTGAAATGTTTGTTCAGGCTAAACCTAAATAATTAATAATGTTTCTCTATTCAGTTCGTAAACATATGCCAAACTGTTATAATTGGGAATAAATGAAAAGATAAAGTACTTGACGAAAAGCAAAAAGACACAAAATCAACGTTTGCCCAAAGTCTTACAGTCACTTTCATTTTCTTTTCATTGGCGATAGTTTGCTAACAGCTTCAAACACTTGACAAGCTAAACACCCCTCGAAATAATATGGACAGTTGAAATGCAAAATTCGTGCACGTGCCCTCCAGTCAATAAGTGAACGTTCATGCTTTCAGCTTTGCCCACTAATTTTGGTCATTTTTGGGTTTTACATCGCAAACGAATATGATTCTTAGGGATTTAACATTTGGAATCTGTATATTTGTCTTATTATACATACATAGATAGCCAAATATTCAGCTGTTGATATGAAAATTTCATTTACTCAAATTTTTAATTAGGTACATATCATTTTATATATGACTATCATCAAGCTGTAGCATATTTTAAATATATTTGTATTTCTGTATCGTAAATTCATTCCGTTTTGCATATGGACATTCCACTTAATTTAAATTGAATTCAGTCTGATTAATGATTGGCTTATACTGGAGCAGAGCTGATGCCAGAGTAGCACAGAAGTTATCAGCAATCGGTGTTAAGTATTCTGTCACTAAATTGCTCAGCCAGATCTGATCTGGAATGCCATCTTTTAGCCGGAGCAGTCAGCCATGAATTAATATCTTACCTTACCAGTCTCACAATAATTGTCACCAGCTGTGCTTGTGTTAGTGTCGAAGCGCAGCTCTTCAGTTCAGTTCATTGAACTGCAACTATCGTTGAATGATTTACAAGTGTTCGTCTATTCATTTTATAAAAGTTAGAATGGTTAACATGAGACTCTCCATATTGACAAATCGATTTGGCGATTGAGATCGTCATTTGATCGCAGCGGCTAACTTTACTCATGTCACATTAACTGTTCGAACTATCAATTGTCAGAGATCAGTGATCGTTTATCAAAAGAGTTGAGAGCTGTAGGAGGTGCGATCACTTTCGTATTATTTAGAACGCTAAGCTTATTGTACACTGAGAGAAATGCGACTCCATCACATAATATTTCCCCATATTACAATGCACATTGTGCCCTCATAATCCGTGGGTGTCAATCACCAATTTGTGATTCATTGAAGCACAATAGCCTGCACTCAGCACAAACCAATATTATATAACCGTTACACTGATAGCTCATAAGAAAGCCCCGAAAAAAATCACATAAAAAATCTTTAACACTGACCCACTTTCAAAATATAGTGAGTCAATAAAGAAACCGCACACAGACCAAATACGGCTTGCGTTAATATGGAGATTAAATAATCGTACGACTCGGGCTTCAATTTATGTCTCAGTCTTTAGACGCAGACGTAGACACAGTCTCAGCATCAGCATCAGCATCAGGCTCAGGCTCAGACTCAGACTCAGCGTCAGTCTCTGAATCATGAATCACCCACACGGGCGGGCGGGCTTGCAAAATAACTGGCAAGTGACCAACAGTGACAACAGCACTGGGATTGCGGCCAAACCAAAAGAAAAGTTGTTAAAATTTATATACATAGATATCACACGCCTGGGGGGTCGAGGTCGCCAAACCGTAAACATTTATATACACTCGTACACTGGTACTCTCGCACCACTCGTCGTTCACTTATCAATATGCAAGTTAAGAGTTTCGATGTTGTTGTTTCTACTGCTGCTGGCTTGGGGGCTTCCAATCAGCTGTTCGACAAAAGACTTAAGGCACAAACTTGTCCGTCATAAATCTCTCTTTGGACAATCGCACTCGCACGTTCGCTCTCGTCTCTCGCTCTTGGTCTCTCTTTCTTTCTCATTTTGCTTCTCTCTGGCTAGCCGCGCTGTGACTCCAACTCTCTTTGGGCATCTGGCAAGACGGTTAGCGGCGCAAGTTGCGCAGTTTTATGCGCTGGCTGCTGCTTTGCCGGCCGCAGTTTGGTTTACACAGCGCACGAGTGCGGATCGGGTTCGGATACGGTTACGGACTTGATTTTGATTACCGTTGCGCTTGCGAGCCTGCAAATTTTGAACTGTCGACGCGTTGCCAATTCTACCGAAGTAGCAGCAGCCGCAGCTGTTCAGTGTCGCATTGGAAGGCAATTTGATTGCCACCGGCTTTCTGGTTATTGATTTCTAAAAGGTGCCTCAACTTTATAACACTTATCAAAACTTGCCTGCGGCTACAGACCTAGCCAAAGTCACAAGACGCAATCAATCAAATAGACGCATAAATTTTTGAAAAATTTCTGAAATGAAATCGATCGACAAAAGTTAATGCCATTCGCGATCATCGATTGAACATAACCAAAATTGGTGTACATCAAAAAATAGAGAGAAAAAAAAAAAGAAATACACACACTCGTCGAAATTAGTCAGTTAAAAGTGAGAGTTTTCCACGCTTTTTAGGTAATTTTGCTGTTATCTGTTGCCTTCTTTTTTTTTTTTATTTTACCTTTTGCTTTTCGTCGGTTAAATAAACTTGCGACTCAATCACGACTAATTGCGCATGCGCGGCCGCTTTATGCGTATTTAAAGTGCCGCCTATATTACAAAACCGGAGCCCAGCTCTGGTATCTGGCCCCGTCTGCCTCTTCGGCTGCTTAATATGCGTGTCACGTTGCCGGCCATCAAGTTCAAATTGCATTCGCTGTCAACGCATTGCAACATGGTACGTTGTAGCTCCAGCAGCCACAGCAGGCGCTGCAGCCCCAACAGCGGCACGCGTTGAAATTTTGAAATTAACACTCAATGCCCCGATGCTGTATTGGCCTGGCAACTGGCGCAACTGGAGCAACTGCTAATTAAGAAATAAAATTTATCAGTCGACGCGTTGTGCGTGAAAGCTGACAAAAAGGATAACAGCAAAGCAAGTGCCTGTCAGGCTGACTGGATGGCTGGCTGGTTGGCCAGGCGAATGACCTGTGCACAGGTTTTGTTGCATTTTGCATGCCGATAACTCTGTCAGCGACATGCACACTAATTAGTTCACATTTGTGGCATACAGATGCACATACAGCACTCCACTTGGCACTTGTTAACATTGGGCGACGTCGTCTGCAGCAGCAGCTGTATAATAAATAGAAGAAAAAATAAATAAGTAAAATAACAAAAACGCAGGCAAAAGTGAGTTAATACTCGTATTGTGGTGCCCGCTGCTGCTAGCCAGCTAGCCAGCCATCCAGCTAGCTGGCCAGTCAGCCAGTCAGCCAGTTTTTCAGCTGTGCTGCAAGTTGTGCTGGCCAGTAGGCCTGCTCCTGACTGTCAAATGAAAACGCTGGCTTGCACTGGGCATTGGTGTTGGTGTTGCTGCTGTTGCTGTTGCTGTTKCTGTTACTGTTGCGGTCAGATGCTGGCGAGTTACTCGTAAAGCATTTAACTGCAAAGCTAATGCACTCACAAAGACATGAACTAATACACACTCTCACACATACACACGCACACCCTGCTCACACCCATACAGGTGCAGTTAATTAATTTCTTTGTTGTTCTCTACGGTAAATCATGCCACATTGGTGTTAGTGCTGCTGCTGCTGCTGCTGTTGCCTCTGCCAGAAGCAGAAGTCGTACCGTTTGAGAGATTTCGCAAGACAGAGAATAAGAATGCCACTTAGTAGCTGGCCCGTGCAACGTCCCGAGTTGTTCTCAGTTGCAATCTCTCTTTGAGTCTGTTTATTGAATAGTTACTGTGAGTTTTCGCGTTGCACTCGACGACGAAGTCTTTTGTTGCTGCTACTTGAACTGCATTTGCATATAAATTAGTTTTGATACCAAAAAGCAAAACAAAGGCAACAGCTAAAACTGTGACTTAAGTTAACGCTAAGGCGCTAGGCTACTAGAAAATAAAAAATAGAAGAAGAAGAAGAAAAATAGTAGTTGCAGCCACTAACAGTTTGATGTTTGTTCTTCGAATGCGTTGCGAAAATCAACTTGGGGCCTGGCTAACGGTTCTCATTAAGTGAAGTACAACGGCGACAGCATTTGAATAGCAGCACTTTTAGTGGGAACAACCACCACACACGACACCACGGTGGGGCCGCGACAGATGCTGAGAGCTGCAGACAGGATGAAGCGATAAGTTGGCAATAAAAATTGGCAGCACTTTGGCACATACGACAAACAAAAGACTTAGGAAACGAACTTGCTGCTATAACAGACATTGCAGCAGCAGCAGCCATGGCAACAGCAACAGCCAGAGAGCAGTAGCGGCATTTGAGCCAGTTAATTGTTAATTGTTGACAAGTTCTCGTTGTCTGCAAAACGAAAAGAAGTGCAAATGTACGTTTAATGAGCAGCAACTGTGGTATCTGTGGTGTTTGTGGTTGCAATTGCAACTGAGATGGGAAGCTGGTGGCTGAGACTCTGCTGCTGTTGCTGGTTGTGATATTAAGTGCAAGGGAATGATTTGCTTGGCTGGCAACTTGCGCAGATAGGAGAAAACTCAACGTCGAATTAGTGTCTCAGAGAAAACAAATTCAGGTGGCATAAAAAACAATCCAAATTGCGATCTTACAGTTACAGTTGACAGATTAGCTGCCAGATGAAACTATGTGTATATTGCATTCATTCATTTTGTATTTTAAAACAAGTTTTATTATAATTATATAAAAGGCTTTAAATATGCTGTCACTGAAAGACGAAATCGGCCAAACGGTAGATTCGTATTTAATTTCCAATGCCCATAGGTGTTTCACATAAAAAGATTAGCATCCAGTTCTGCCCACCTGATCTATCCAAGCGTTCCAGCTACCTGCACTAACTAGTTCGTTTGTTTATTTGAATTTTAGTGGCCGTTTGTTTGTGTGTGTGTATTTTTTTGGCTATTCCATTTAGCATTTCGTGGCACATCAAATGCAAATACGACAGGCCCAAATAGGGTCACCGAATGTGTTTTCGAGCTGCACCTTATCTCAAAGTTTATCGACATATTTTTTGCATAAATTCCCAAGCGTTTTATTTGATTTTGCTCGCTGAGTTGCTTATAACGTATATAATTATGTTTTATTTTGTAGAAATTGGACAGAGAAAGGCGAATCAACTCACAAGCCGACCCTTGCTGGAAAAGTGAGAAGCAATCAAACAAAAATAAAAGGAAAACTAAAATCGTAAATCAAAATTGTGCAATAAAATAAAAGCAAATATCGCATTTACAGATAATCGTAATAAAAAAGGAAACGAAAAAGAAAAAAGAATAAACCTAAGGTCTTAAAACGAATTTAATTAAGACCAAGTCGAAAAGAAGTTGTGGTGAATTAGTTTTGATTGGAAGTGTTGGCGTGATTGTGAAGTTATTGCCCCATAAACTCGCCCACAAATATTTACTAAAGTTTATTGCATTCGAAAAAAGAAAAGAGTGAAAATCAATTAAACAAAATATTTGATTACCATTACTGGATCATACACGCAGTTATCGGCCGACTTGCTGTTCCACTAACCATGAAAACGTTGGAAAGTGTGCCGGTCCAACAAAATAATTAACGAAATCTGTGGAGAGCGGCACAGAAAAGTGCGAGTGCGTGTAAACCGAATCAAAATCCCAGTGGCCAAAATGGCAGCCAGTGAAAATCAAATTTGATAAGCTACAGCACCAGGTCATTGTTCTTTACGACTAGTGAAAATCAGTTCGCATTTAAGTAGCCCAAAAGTCTTCAAAGACGTTCAACAATTATTTCTGTGCAACGATCCAAATACAGCCATTCATGTCTGGAAGCTTAATACTTAATTGAAAAGTCTAGTAAGTAAAAAATAAAAATCTAATTTACAATTTTATTGTATTTCTCCTCATTAAAATTCAAATTAAGTAGCTGGTATTTCCATTTTTATTTATAATTGAAGTTTTCAAATTGAAAAGTGTGATATTTCAATTTGAGAGATTTGTTGTAAAATATCATTTTTATTATCAGTCAGCTCTTGATTATTACTATTTTTTCTGTCGACAGCCACTATAAGTTTCTCTTAGCTATGAGCCTAACGAATTCCAATGATAAGTTGATTAAGTTTTAATTCCAATTTGTTTGACAATCATTTGAAAGCGCTAGGCCTGAGTCCCACTGSGCCTCTTTCYTSTCTTCTTGTATAACAGATATGAACATAAACGTGTTTTAAATTGCTACTCGCTCATTTGTTTTAAATGTTTTCACATTCTAAACGAAAATTGCTGCTTAAATTTAATTTGATTGCTTCACCGCGTCGTCATAAAGTTGGATAAAGTTTCGTATACGTAATGTGACATTCTAATTTGCAAATGACTTTGTGTGAGCTAACGAATTACTAGCAGATCGATGTTTTGCAATAAAATTGTTTATAAACTATTGCGCATACAYCAGCATAAGCGYATGTATGTGCGCAATGAAAGAGTCTGGCATATGCGGCGATTATCTCGGCATTACGATAATAAAACCTGAAGCCATCTTTCGCATTGAGTCAGTGCCAGTTACTAGTTGCTGGCAGGCTCTGTCATCCGCTGCGTGGCCGTATGTCGTTTTATTAGCGAAAGTCATCGAGCAGAATAATTGTTGCAATGCGGCTCCCGAAACTCTGCCCCTTGCCATTACGATTACCGTGCTCCCCCACGACGATTRCAATCAAGGCGCGCGCTCGTAAAACACAATTCCAATTCACTTGCGCGTAAAACGAAATTTTTTTTTTCTCTTCTTCAGACGGCAAATTCGAGTGTGCGTGCGTGTGTGTGGTTGTGTATGGGTGCGTGTGTGTATTTGTGTATAACTCCATGTGAGTGTTGTTTGCTTTTGGCGAATCTTATTGCAGCTCAGCCAACAACTGTGACCGTCTTCGGATTATTATATAATTTTTGAACTCATTATTCCATTTGTCAAAATTTGTTTGCCATACCTCGGTCCCAAAATTGGCTAAATGCGTTAACATTTTCCTCGAGAAAATTATGAAATTACTTTTGCCTCAGCCGCAAACAGCCTTGGCTATAAACATGCACAGTTATATCATAGAGATGTGCTGCCACCGTTAACAGGCATGAGCTTCTAAGAATGAGTGTAGACCAATCTGATAGCAAAATCCCACTATATTAAAATATGCAAACGAATGCATCTGCGTCTGAATATCCATTAATTATTCTTGGCTGACCGTAATAAAACTGCTAACGTAAAGATAGCATAGGAAAATGAAAGAAAGATAATTCATAGGTGCAGTTATATATATACATACTTATATTATTACTTTTTTCTGGCTTTTGAAGTTTTTGTATGAATTTGAATAAAAAAGAGTATATATATAATAGCTCTAAACAACAAGCAAACATGCAATATAATTCAAATGATAAACAAATCCAATATATAAACCTGATGATATAAAAATATGTCTAAAAATCGGACAATAATATTAAAAAAAAAAAAAAAAAATTCTTTATCAAATATATAGTTTACGTGCTTTACCTATATGATAAACCTTTGATAAAGCCTTTCAGGGGCATTTTACATCAATAAAAGATATTGTCAACGACGATCTGTAGGTGTGTAGAGGGCATTAAGATAAAAACTTGGCATACTCACTTCATACTCATTTCATTTGTATTCAATTTCATGCATTTTAGACAGGTCAGTCACATAATCAGTAATATAGAAAGCAATTCAAGGAGTGTGTAGCTCTGTGAGAATTATAAGCATTAATATCAACTTTCTTTTGTTGTTGTTATTGTTTTCATWTGTTGTCGCTGTTGTTGTTGTTGGTGCTGTGTCATCACAGAGGCTAGGCCATTGACATGCAATGACATCACAGTTGTACCCGCACTCGCACTCGCACTCGGCCATATAAACTACAAACTATAATTAATATGACCGCACAGCAAACCGACAATTACCTGTTTTGTTGAATGAATGTATGAATGAATGCGGTCTACTCGTTTATTTACAAGCGAGTATCTGTCTGTCTGTCTAATCGTGATTATCAATGGCYAACACTTACCAGTAAACCAATAATTATTTGCATTCAATTGACGAGCTGTTTATTATGACGCCTGAACGAAATCGCTTGACATAGTCTCAATACCCATTCGCAGTCGGGATCGTTGGGAATACATGGAAATCATATTGTTTCAGCTCGTTGCAATAATGTGCATGAATAATCCAATATCTGGTCAACTTAGCTGGCTATTCACTTAAATTGGCTGTCTTCGCCCTGGGCCCTGTTCAATTTACAGTCTGAAAATGAGACAAGTGAATGCTGATTGACCCACTGAGTCTGGAGCTGGGTAGTGGATAATGGGTAATGGGCAACCGAATGCTCGGGGCGTGCTCGAGCATTGGCTGTGGGCACGGCAGCAACGTGCATTTCATGCAAATTACCTCTCCCTGGCTGGGTATGGCTGCCCTGGCCGGGTCTGTGTTCATTACAGACATTTAAAGACGTTTATTTTGAAGATTTTCACTTTCAATCTGTCAAATTGTCACACTCACGAACAGAGACTCGAGCCTCATTGTTCGATCTCTTTGTGGAGCATTCAATAATCAAAAGTGATTGCCGCACGATTTTATTTTACTTAACTTTTAACGTTTTCAACTGCCAAGTGGCCGGCATGTCAGATCTTGAAAACAGTTACGATGACGATGGAGCTGGTTGCTGCGTATAAATATAGATATGTATATGTGTGCACATATATTTTTGTGGTTGGTTTGTGAATGACTTGGGCGCACGTGTTGGTGATGCTCACTTCCGTAGCCCACGATCATGATTGATATTGAGTTGGATTTATATTTCTCATTGTAATGGAGCCCTTTCATTTAAGGGTCTTTAATTTTCACTCCATTGAAACAGGTGCGACCGTTATGATATTGAAAATAAAGTAACTTATTTAGAATGGATTGCCATGAATAAACAGCTTGGTTGGGCCAATCAAGCTGGGAAAAGCGCTGCAAGTCCAAGAACAAACCAACTAGACAACTAAATCCATATTAATTATGTTGCTTTCGGCTCGAGGGTAAAATGAAATTATAAGAAGCCGCAGAACTCGACCTTAAAACCAGCAGCGTCATGCTGCTCTGCACAGGGCATAGAAAAAAGTAAATATTTGGACAATGGGAACAAGGCAAAAGGTTCCGCCGGGGTCGCTCTAAATGAGGAAAAACGCTGAAAACCAAACATAAACAAACAGACAGACAAACAAAAGAAGAACCAACAACAACAACAGCAACGGCAACCACAACCACAATAACTGTGCTCTGGGCATTGGCCACTGGGTCTGAGAGGCTTAAGAGTGGTGCAGTCAAAGGTTCAAGTGCAGCTAAGCCGTCAGGTTGCATAGCACGGGGCCGGCCATTAGCTGCGGCAGGTTAATAAACCAGAGACACTCGCCAGCCGAGTGATTTATGTTTGTGGCCCAGTCTATGACACCTAACAGCTCGGCCGCGTGTTGCTTTTATTTCAGTACTCTCTGCTGCATGGAAAGTGCATGCAAACGATGCAGAGTCGAGCTCGCTCTGTTCCTTGATGGGCTCACCTTGCGTATGTGTGATGGCTGTTGATGTTGACGCACATAATTGATTAATGTGCAGCGTTAAAAGTTGCGGCTCAACAAATAGGCGCCAGGTGATAGCCAGACAGTGATAGTCGTCAGTTAATGGACAGCTAAATAAATAGAAAATTAAACTTCACTTAAAGCCGGCAAACATCTTTAACTACAATTTTATAGCTCAAGCGATATATTGCTTAGATTACTTAGGTTAGTTGGAATATCATAAAAATGATTTCATTTGAATTCAGATGAGCCTTACTTTTATTTTCCATTAAATATACATATTTAGGATATATTTTACTTTAGAAGATGAAATAGGAATTGATATTTAAAGAATGGTATTGCTGGGTCTATCTATAAAGTTTTGGGCAATCGATCTTAGCTTAAATAAATACATAATACTTATAATAATATAATAATCTGCTTTATATCAAATCTCTTTTCATAATTGCTTAAAACGTATAGAAGCAAGCTTTTTGTGTGCTGCTTCAAGAGTTTACTCAGGTATTATTTGCGTAGACAATATTTATAACGTTAGCAAGAAAAAGCGATATTGATTTATAGGTACAATGACTTTTAATTCTCACTGTTCTGATCATCGTGGTCGTTGTCGTCGTCGTATCGTACCCCAGGCAATGTGTGTTTCACATGGAGAAGCCACTCAAAAATTGTGTTTACGTTACGCGCTGTGATTATAACAAGAGAGCGGCTCAAAAGATGCCGATGTCGACGTAGACGTCGACGTCGAGCTGTAGATGGACATGTGCTATCTAACGTATGAGATAGAAGCCGGACTTTAGCAGCGGCCCAGCTGCGTGTCTGGTCTGTGGTCGTGTGATCCAGTTGTTTATCTTTTTCATTAGCCTGGGCGGCCTGTCATCTATGCCGTCGCCTGTCGATAGTCTGTCGATTGACAAAACGCCTACCGGGCAGGTTCGCCTGCCAGCCCACCATTTACCAGGCAGGCTGTGACTTTTCCACACTTTACAGCAGATCGAACCTGCAACTGCAACCGAAACCTGGTAACTGGTAGCTGGTGTCGGTAGCCCTCGCTTTCGCCCTTGCCTTCGCCTTCGCCTTCGCCTTTGGAGTTAAGTGACTGACGCAAATTGCGCAATTCTTATTACAATTACTGTGTAACTAGCTGCCTGTTGTGGCATCGGTTGCCGCTTGGTCTGTGATCCACACGTAGCAGCAGTATACCTCAGTTGTTGCCCTGTTCCGCGTTTGTCAGTTTCTCTCTCAACTGCAGCATTTTTCTAATACTTTGTTGAGCAGTAAAGATTTTGCTACAATATTATTTGGCCTTTGGCATGGCCAGCGCCGGTGTTTCGGGTCTGGTTCTGTCTAATCGTTTGTCAGTCTCTGGCTACTTGTCTTTTTTTATTTTTTTTTATTTTTTCTTTTGGTTTTTTGTTAGTCGAGGGCTCTCTAAAAGATAGTCATTAGCACAAAAGATTACTTTTGGTACGGGTGCTGCTTCTGCTTGCTGGGCGCTTAGGTGGGGTAATTACCTTTCGGGTCTCTTAGTTAATACAAAAATAAAAGAAGCTACGAGCCACAGCAATAGCAGCTAAACTGATCGTTTTGTTGAGGAAATGAAAACGTAACGAAATTAATTTGCAACGGTTCAGGCGCTCATTGGCTCATAAATGGCGTGTGGCAGCTCCCAGTTCCCATCGAGCAATCGGCCGATTGGCGGATCGACCTGGTGCCTGTCTTCATTTCAAACTGAAATAAAGTTATTAGAGTGAAAATTACGTTTGGCGTCAACAGTTGTACATTGCGCTGTTGTCGTAGAGGTCGGAAACGCTCGATAAATAGACGTGGAGAGATCAAATACTGAAATTAAAGTCATTCGATCTCATTTTCAGTTTCAATCATCAGCTGCTGGCTCATGACGTGCAGAAATATTTCGGTTCCAGTTTGAATGATTTGAAATTACCATCAGTGTAAATGACGCCCATTAAATTGGGGAGATGAGAGTGATAAACGGAGCTTGAGAATATTTACGATAAACGTTCCCATTAATTCAAGCATTTTCAAATGTGTCAATAATTTACGTTAAATGTTATCAATACAGGGCTCGACTCATATAACATATCCGAGGAATAAAAGTCTATATTAACCTAGGTCAAGTTAAAAACCTTCAAGTGTTAAAATATATTTGTAGTGCATATGAAATGAAACAAAAAGTATATTTTATACATTTTTCCATTTTTTTTTTACAGTATTATTATTATTATTA